AAAAAAAAATAATACCGACTAATACAAAACAAAAATACGTCACATCTATCTTTAAATTTATTTTGTGAAAAAAAACTACTTCTTTGATTGGCATGAATTATTCACTTATATATTTTTTTCTCTTTTTTTTTTTTTGCTATATAATTATTTGAAATAAACACACCCGACATATGTATATATTTCTATTGTAAATTTCAAATAAATAATTATTAATTTTATTGTAAATAACACATAGAAGGAATGAAAAAGAAAGAAAAATTTTATTTACAAGAATTCATTAAAATTGGATCATAGATTAACAATCGATTTGGGTCATTACATTGTATAACAATTCGAGATATATTAGATATAACAACAATTGATTTTGGTTGATGTATATGAGAAATAGTTAATAGAAGTTTATCAAGTGATTGCCATAAAAGACGATCATCGAATGCATCAGCAATAAGCCATAATTTTTTATTAAATCGACATATGGATGTACCACCAATAGCAAAACGTCGAACAGAAAATAATGTTCGATCTAAATATTCTAATTTTCCTGTATGTGTTGAAACAAAATATTCATCATCAAATTCAATATCTTCACAAACATGATCAAGTCGTTTTTGACGAAGATATTTTAATGTATTTAAATCATATAATTTTAATGTACGAGAATCTACACAAGCAATTAATGTTGAATTACATGCAATACGACATTTATTTTTTTCTTTATCAATTATGAGCGTATTTGTTACTTGTTCTTGTTCAAGATTATATGTTAGTAATTGTCCATTTGATGTAAATAAAAATTCATTCCGTTGTGAACACCATATAAAATCATCAATAGATGTAGAAATATCATTTAATTCAATTGAATGAATTAATTCAAAATTTTGATCTTGAATTTGACGTAATTCTAATATAATTTTATTATTATGTGTATAAATAATAGCAAGTTCATTGCGAGGTAATGGTAAATAAGTCATACCACAATAAATATATGTGGGTTCAAGTGGAATAGAAAATGTTTCATTTATTGAATAATTTGTTTGATCGAATTCTTCATGTCTTGAATTTATATCCGATGACGCCATGTTTAATTACAATCTAAAAACAAATACTTAACTTATCCATCTCAATATATGTAAGATATTCATTTAGATCAATTTTAATAATAAAATTATTAATCACATCTTTAAGTCCAGTCTATTAGTTGTAGATCAAAATAAATCTATTCATTAAATACTTTTGTTTAAAATGTTCATTTTTAGAATATGATGTCATAGAAAAATTTATCAAATAACTATGTAGGAAGCTTTCTAGTATAAACATCAAGGTCAAATAACCTTATACAATCTCGACTACAAAAAGTATTTTATCTAGATTTTTCCTTTCGAGAGTGCGATACCGATTTCTGGGACGGCGAAAATCTAATTCTTGGAGGTCAAATACATAGTATGAGCACAAAAATTGCAATTTTCGAGAAGGCAAAATCGTTCTCCGAGAGGGCGCTGCCATTAGGGAACTGCAAAATCACTTTTTTTCGGTCCCGGTCCCGGTAAAATCTTTTTGGTCCCGGTCTTGATAAAAGCTTAAGAATAATTCTGGTGTTGTCTTCATCTACGCAAAAAAAGTATGAAATTCACGAGAATTCTCGCTTTTTCGATAGTAAATTCAATCTATACGGTTTTTCTTGAACTAAAAAATAACACATTTGTCAATTCTTAATTAAAGAAAAATAAAGAAATAAGAAAATATCTAGTCTCATACTTGATAAAAACATTCAGGAATTAGCTGACAATTTTAGTCTTGTTCCCGGTCCCGGGACCGGGGCCGGGACCATTTTGCAGTACTCTAGCCGCCATCTCTACCCTCCCTCTAGATGAATCACTGACTACAGATGTCCATGACCAGCTGCGGTCCCGATAGCCGGAGCCAAGAAATAAAGCTTTACCGGAACCGATGCCATTGAAAAACCAGCTGCCAAGTCTAGACAGGAACCAAAAACATACTAGACTCGAGATTGATACGATCGGAACTGATAAAAAATGGGCACCGTACATCTCTAATCTCGATACTACCAAGTCTAATTATCCAAAGTATACATGCTAGTTGATAAAAATAATCCATCTCATAATCTCTCGTAAATAAAATCCTTCTTCCAAAAACATGTTGATTATACAGGTGTGTATTTATTCTAACTAGTATTTCTAAAAAATAGTAATAATATATTACCCAATACTGATAGAAAAGAAAAAAGATATTTGTATAATATGTATATGAAAAGAAACTTTTCAAATTCTCTTTATTTATATAAACAATTGAAAAAAAAATTTTATAAAATCAAATACAACACCGAGATTAAAAATTCTATGAAAAATATTTCTTTGATTATTTAAACAGGAATTGTCCAAACAAGATATGATAATTGATGAGTTTGAGAATTTAAATTTTGTCGTGATCTTTCAGTTAATTTCGGACATTGAGTAAATCCAATTGTTTTTAAATTTAAACATGTTTGAAGTAAATAAATAAAACCATCATCAGTTATTTCAATACACATTTTTAAATTTATTTCATTTAATGTATGATGAAAAGCTGATTGTCCAATAGATATTAATGAATCATCAGTTATATGTGTTTTTGTTAAAGCTAATGATCGAAGATGAGTTATATTTCGAAGACCATCAATACCTTTATCAGTTATTTGAATACAACCTGTTAAATCAAGTTCCATTAAACGTAAACAATTTGCACCAATAGCAAGAATACTTTCATCTGTTATTTGTGAACAATTTTGTAAACGTATTTTTCTTAATGATGGATATTGTTGAACAAATTGTATTAAACCATCATCAGTTATATCTGAATTACGTAAATGAATAACTGATGGATTTAATACTGATGTTATTGTTACGTTTGGTGAAATATCATTTTGTGTTGATTGAAGACGTTTTCGTTCGATTTGTGCATTTAATGAACAATGTGCCATTAATATTAAGGATCGATCGGTTATATTTGAACAATCACGAAAATCAAATGTACGTGTACGACAATTGAGTAAACATGGTAAATTATCATCAGTTAAAAGACCACGATGAGAAAGTAAAGTAAATAAACGTGCTTTAAGATTGACAGGTAATGCGACGAATGTTGATAATTGTGTTGAACAAATTGTATCAAAATGATTAACAATCGTATAATCACATAGAATACCTAATCTAGCTACCATGATCTACAAAGAAAACATAACTATCAATATAACCAATGTCTTTATTTCAGACTAAAAAGAATTTGTTAAATAGTTGAGTCAATAAAAAATAAATCATAAAAGCAGACCAATGTATAACAATTTAAAATTAAATAAAGAATTAAAGAAAAAGCTCTTATATCTACAAACATCAAATGCCTTCGAAAGATAAGTATATTCGTCATTTTAAAATCACAATGATATTGCCAGAGAGACCAACTACATATAAATTATTTCTTCACATTGTTTCACACACACACGCACAGATATATTGCAGATAGTTCAACAATATTATCAATTTGATATATCGATTGTATCGAGAATACTAAAATTTTTATTGAAATCAATATTTGTCGGCCGATGGCCTTGTCGTCGTACAGCCCATATAGCAGCACCTGATTTTTAGTAAACGACAAATAAAACTAGTTAGTTAAAAAACAAATAAATAAATTTTTTTATTTAATATACCAATTGCTCCGGGAGCGGTTAGTTGAACCAATTCAATTTTATTAAATGGTAATGAATTTCCATTTGAAATCGCATCCATAAAACCTGCGGATATAAAAATAAATCAGATGGAAATATATATATATTAAACCTGGAAGAATAAATCCATTTAATTACTGAGAACTTCCTGCGTACCTATTAAACCAGTACTACATAAAGTTCTTAGAGTTCGATATCATCAGACATTCAATTATTAATATTTGTTTACCTGGTTTCAAAAATTTCCAACTACGAAAAACTGAACCAACAGCTACAACTTGTAATTTTCCTTGTTCATATAATCTTGTTTCAATATAAGTTGAAATAGCTCGAAGATGTGCACCTAACATATAACCAGCTTCTTTAAATAATTCCTGACTTGCTTCATCATTATCATAGAGTGCCACTAGAATAAAAGATATATTCAATATAAAAAAAAATATTTTTTTTTGAGAACGAACATTCAGCAATCACTTTTGTAAAACGTGCAATGAAATCTTTTTGAAAATTTTTATAAAAATAATTTAATAATTGACTGATATGTTGTACCTATTAAATAAACTTTATAGAAAAATAAAAAATATTTTAAGAGAACTTACTTTAAAGTATGCTTTTATTTCATTACTTAATCTTGTTAAATCATATCGTGATAAATTTAAATTATCATCATGATCAAAAACACGTTTTATTGCTCGTTGTGCAATCCAGTATGCACCTCCTTCGTCACCTAATAAATGACCCCATCTAAATAAACAATTATTAAAATAAATAAATAATGATAAAGAATTTCTTATTTACCCTCCGGCTCGTTTACTTGAACCATCTTGATTATAAACTACACAGTTAGAACCTGTTCCAGATATAATTACAACCCCACCATTTGGTACTGGTGCTATTAAATCTTCACCAACAGAAATTTTACTTGTATCCATTCCAAGTAATTCAAGTTCATTACGTACATTTGCTTGTGATTCAAGTTGTCCAGCACCACTTAATATTATACCCTTTAATAATAAATTACTGTTTCTCAATGACTACATACTGTTAATTTTTACTTACAACACAAACTATATCATCCCATTTAACTTCGCCTTTCGCAAGTATATCATCAATTAATTGTTTTAATAATTTCCCTACACAATCAAATCCAAGTACCTTTCATAAAGAAATTCTATTAAATAATTACATAAAGAGTATTTAATTACCCAAGGATTCGAAGGTCCTGATTGTAATGCAACATATAATTTTCCATTATCATCGATTAAAACTCCTTCTGTTTTTGTTGCACCACCTTCAATTCCAATAAATAATCGATTCATAATCTAAATAATATGTAAAACTTTTCATTTGTTGTTCTCCCATATGAAATAATTCATCATTTTAATAAAAAAAAACGAAAAAAAAGAAGAAGAAGAAGGCGAGCAGGAGAACTTTCGATAAAATAATTATACAATAAAATAAGAAAAGAAGAAAGAAACGAAACGTACATATATTTACATAACAACCATAAGAACGATTAACAAAAGAAAATGCTACATGACTACCGAAAGAAATAAAAGACAACAATCATATTGATATAGACATGAGAGATATTGTTTAGAGAGTTTTGTTACCTCTGATAAAGTTTAAAAGAAAAAAAAAATTATTTTATAACACACACATACATATTTCATAAAAAATTTTCTAAGTATTTGACTAATAGATAAATATTATCTGTTATATGAGTTTATATTACTCGAATAAGACTGTGTTGAATTTATATTCGACTGTTCAGATGTAGTATTATTTGAAGAATAATCTACTGATTGTTGAGTTGTATAACCATTTGAACGACGATCATAATCAGGACGATTTTCTTTTATGAGAAAAAAAACAAGATGTTCAATCAATTTATTTATTTCAAAAAATCTTTACTTTTATAATATGATTGTGAAGATTGTTGTTGTACTTGTTGGTCGTTATGGTAATATGGTTGCTCACCTGGACGTCGTTGAGCTGGTGGTGATAATTGAGATTGTTGTTGATAATTAACTGAATTGGTTATAAGATTATTCATTGAACGATGTGATGGAAATCGAGTAGATTTTGGATTCCAATATTGTTCATTATTTCCTCCACCATAATTTCGTGTATAATTTCCATTACCACTCGATCGACGAGGATTATTATTATAATTATTCCAATATTGTTGTCCGGAATATTGATTATGTTGTTGATTACTTTGATGATGAGTATAATGTTGTTGAGATGAAGATGTGGATTGAGAATGACCTTTGGAATAATGTGGTGGTATCATTTCATTTGTATTTGTATTATTTGTTGAAGGATTTGTTGTTCGACGAGCATTATCATGATTATTATGATCAAACCAAACTAAATTAGAAATCGACTTTTTTTTCTCATTGAAGTTCAATAGATTTATGATTAACTACAGTGTAAAATCAGTGTATTGAATAGTTTTTAAACAAGAAATAAAGAGTTACTGTTCTTTGTACAAAAGAATACATACAAAGTTGTCTGTATTAAGTCTGACTAATATTTAATATGCTGGCTTGTCTATGGAGGGAGTGATTTCATCTCACTTGTTTTTAATGAATGAGAGACCGCAGACGGCTTTCCAGTGCTTCGTTTTGAAAAGCGTAATTTTTTATCTAACATCGTAAATGTATTCAATTCTGTGTACTAAGTTGTTTATGCGTAGTGAAATAAACAGAGCGTGACGAAACTACGTATTACGTTGACAGACCGCAGAACTAATTTTAACACAAAATCTCTTTACATATGTTCAAATTATTTCTATTCAAAGGATTAATATTCAGTTATGTACTACAATAATTTACAGATGTTTTTTACTCTCATATCATTGTGAAGTAACATATCTTCGATAGAATATTTTAGTCGTTACTACATAATAGTATTTTGTGAATATAAAATATAAACCAGTCGTCGAATACTGATCGTTCGATGACGATTACAGTAGATCACACACGAATTCTTTTATTTCTGTTTATCTGTTCAACGGTAAAAATCATTCTATTAATTTTTTCATTTGCTAATTTCAAAAACTTTAATCCTTGTTCAAAAGAAAATAGAGTAATCATCAAGTACAAAGTGTACAAAAGATTTTAGTATATAGATTACCAAAGTTTTTGCTGCCATTTCAAAAGGAAATCGACATTGTCTTTCATTTTTCTTCATCAACTTATAAAGTATTGATTGTTTATTAAGAAAGATCTTACAAACCTGTTTGTAAATGTTGAATAATTTCTCCGACATTCGAAAATCCTTCATTATTAATTGGTGCTATTGTTGATTCTGCCAACGAACTTGTTCTTGAATTTTGTCCTGATCTATTCGTCAAAAAAATATTTTTATATATAAAAAAAATGCTAAATTTTTTATCTAACTAACCGCTCATTATTATTATTATTATTATTATTTGTCGAATGGAATTGTTTTTCAACACTTGAAGAATTCGTCGATGGATAACGTTGACGATGTTCTTCACGAGAATTTACATGATCTTCATTAGTATTTGTTTCATTTACATGTACAGTACTCATCATGAAAAGACTTTTAGTTTACAAATTTCTAATTAAATAAATATTTTAAAAAATTTAGTAAAAAAAAGTTTTCCTTCTAAAAACAAACAAACAAATAAATAAATAAACAAACAATTGAAATGAATTCTATTGGTTTAAAATAAACCAATGAAAATTATGTCTCTGTATTCATTTATTTATAAATATATTTTTAACTTGAAAAATAATTTCTTTCATCATAGAAAAATAAAACTATGTTGAAAATATATTTTTTCGTTTCTATACGATAGTGTACAGTACATGACCTTGATTAGAATTTGAATTGTTATTGTCCTTTGAAAGTAATATGATACAAAAGGAACAATAAAAATATTTTCATTGTTTAATTGAAAAAATATACTATTAGAAAAAAGTAGGAAAAGTTTATTTTTAATCAACACCTTCTAGAAAGTTCTATGAATAAATAAATAAACATGTTTACAAAAATTGATCTAAATACTATGGATGAATGTCGAACAACCTTCAAATTTCTATTCGCATGATTGATTTGCCTTGAAGTTGAGCAGTATTTTGTATAAATATATGTATAGATAGATAAGCAACAACGCACTCGAAGTACTTAACAAGTTTAGATGTACACTTCCTTATGAAATAGATACAATCATTCTTCATATATCTTGTAACCATAAACAATAGTACTACATGACACTTGGTTTTACTCAAAAACTATGATGATTATGTATTGCTATTTGAATATAATTATCGAACGGATAACAATCTCAATAAAACATACTTTCTGCTTTAACAGTTTTACCTTTCAATACATATACTCTATTACTCTCTTAATATTATTTATTCCTTTCTTTTTTCCCTAACGGATATATAAAAATAGCTTTATACGAATAGTACAATTATTTCTAAACAAAGAATTATTATTTAATTATCTTTATCACAAGGCAATACAAATAATCATATAAAAAATAACATTTCTTTATTTACTACATATTGTTCGTAACTAAATATATATAGTTGCTTTTTCTGGTACAATATTTATCGAAGATTATAATGAATGTTTTTTTTATATATTTTTTATTATTATGAAACAAACAGAATACAAAACACAAGCGCTTTCCAATCAGTCGAACTGATCATAAATATAATTAATCTAGTTGTTCATTTTTACTGTGTTAAATAATGCAGTAATATGCATACAGTGGAAAAAAAGAGAACAATTAGAAAAACAACGCCGCTATACAACAAACAAAGAGAAACACTAAATTAGTGTTTTCTTTATACACATAAATTGTCTTTAGATTATACAATAATGAAAGTCTATATCGTTGAAATATTCAGCATTAAATATCTCATTTGCCACAATGAGAACAACTCCGAGTATTTATCGAATCGAATTGATCATCATTCGAACTATCATTACTTAGTTCCGATGCAAAATCATCGCTTGATTCTTTCAACGTTCGTTTTGTTGTCGTTGTTGTTTTAGTTGAAGGTGATGACACCATGATCCCATTTGTAAGTTTATGTAGTGTTCTTCCCCGTTTTTTACAACTATTTTTTTATATGAGAAAAGCAAAATGAGAAAAATCATAGCGAATAAATGTAATTAGTACATACCAGGTTGAATCAATACCCGCATTAATATAAACCGAACCATCAGAATCGCCGATCTCAGCCAAATGTCGATCTAATGGTTGCGGTGGTGATTTTCGAATTTTATGTCGACGAACAACAGAACTGCTCATAGTGAAAAAGAGAAGTTATACAAGAAAATTAAAAAAAAAGACAAAGCTCTACACAACAAATTGATGCTACAGATCCTGTATCTGTGAGTGCCTGTATTTGAGTAGGAAGAGTAGTAGACGAAGAAGAGGACACTTTCTGACGACGATTTATTATCGATCTGAATGCAAATGCGCCTCTATATATATATGTTCAGATGTCTGCCGTTCTCTTTCTTTTGCCAAAGAGAGAGAATAAGAGAAAAAAGAGAATGAGAGAAATGAGAGAAAGAAGAGAAAGGGGAAAAAGAAGAGAAAAGAGAGAAAGGAGAGAAAGGGGAGAAAGAAGAGAAAGGAGAGAAATAAGAGAAGGAGAGAGAAATATAGAAATAATTTGCCGCTCAAACAATCATTGTCTCACGCCAACGCAATTTACTATTCGTCGTTCAACACTTCGTCTATCAACATATATTACCTGCACGGTCCTTCGTATATCATCGTTATCAATAGTTGTTCATTAGTGTATATCTTCGAATATAAATTCTCATCAATTGATTTGTTCTGCATCAATATTATTTATCTTCCCAAAAAAAAAACATTTCTTTTCATAGATTACAATCAAAGGCAAAAAAAAGAGAGAAATAGAATAGAGAAGAACGAAAGAAAGGAAGAAAAAACGAACGAGTAACCGCTTGTCCTCGAAGTGCAGTGTTAGTAGCAATATAAAGATTGATACACATCAGACAAACACTTCATTATTTTTTGTTTTCTTTTTTTTGAGAACTTTTAGTGTTCGACATTAATCATACGAAGAAAATAATTTAAGAAAGCGAAAAAAAAGAACAAGAAAAAAAAATATTAAATTGCACGTTGGTGATAAAAAGAAATAAAATCAAAATGCTTAATCAAAAGTTATTAGTTGTGGTTCTGGTTTGTCTTCGTTAACGACGGGTGTCGGGTGCTGTTGTTGCTGCTGTTGAGTATATACTACATTCATATGAGTCATTGGCATTTGACTCGGAGGAAGATTATAATTGTTATCTATGAAATAAAAATAGAAATATGAGTCAAATTGAAATTTCTTTTCTTTGTAAAGTTCTCATTGGTTACTTAAATAGCTCTTATAAAAAAATATTTTTACGTGATACATTTTAATATTTCTTTTGTTCTCAAATGATTAATAGTCTAAAAATAGTTTTAATAAAATAAATTACAAGTACCTCCACTAGCTCCCATTGAATAGGGCATAGTCGGCATTGGTAATCCATTAGGTAGCTGAGGTAATAAATTCGTATCTGCTTTTGGTGGATACATCGGCATGGATGCATAATGATTTTGAGGTAAATTTTGTTGATTTGGGAAAGGTGTTACAACTGAATATTGATTTGATGGATCCATTATTTGTTGTGTTGGTAAAGTATTATATGGTGTTTGATACATAGGATTTTGTTGAGATATTTGACCGTAATCATACGATGGCACCATCGACTATAAAATAAAATTAGATATGTTTATTCTGAATTTCAAACAGAATATAGTGAATTAGTTTTTGATGTTGATTTTACCCCGTATCTGGATATTCTCATATTTACATAATGAAAAATCTGTATTTTATCTATTATTATCGATAGAGTTTCGAGTTTTTTTTGACGTAGAAAAAAAAGGTTTAATATTAGAAATAAGTTATTACCAATTGAGGATTTTGTACAAGTTGTTCACGTGCATATGTTAATTGTCGTTGTTGTTCAAGACGAGTTTTCATTTCAAGTTCTTGTTGTGCTAAACGTTGAAGATGTATTTGACGTTGATATTCAAGATATTCCTATTTAAAAAAAAATATATAAAATTTTGTGCCTATTGAATATTATTATAAAAAGAAACTCTAACCTGTTTCTTTTGTCTCATAAAATCTAGTTTTTGTGCTAATTGTATTTGTCGTTGTCGATCACGTTCTAAAGCTTCTTGTTGTTTTCTTTCATAATGTTCTGTACGTAAAGCATTTAATGCTTCACGTGCATCTTTCAATTGATTTAATTTATCTTGTAAATTTTCAAAATAAGCTTAAAAATAAATTAAGAAAATAGTTATTAATTTTATTGAAAATTAATTTTATAATTAACCTCGTTTATCTTCTAATAATTGCATGTAACGATGAAGTTCAGGATGAAGATGTTGAAGCATAACAAAAACAGATTGAACAGCTGTATCTGTTGTTATATTTCTACTACGTTGTTGATTACTTAACATTCGAAATTTAAAATTGTTTATATGATCAGTAACAACAGTCGTAAATTGATCGATTTCAAGATCAGTTACAAATTTATTTAATTCATTCTAAATAGAATTATAATAAAAAAAAATATTTGAAATAAATAAAATATTTATTTACTGGTAATTGTGAGATTAATTCTAATCCATGTCCGTTGGAAATATTTGTTGGATTTATATTTTCTTGTTGTTGTTCACGACGTCCTCGTTCAATATATTTAGTTAATTCAGAATATTCATTATTAGCTTCGGGTGCATTCTTTAAAAAATAAATTTATTAATCAATAAACAAATATGTTTATAAGAGATTTACCGGTGGATCATTATTAGTTGGAGCTGATAGAAAACTTGACATTGCATATTTTTGTGTTAACTGTTTTTTTTGTCGTTCTTTTTCTTCAGCTTCACTTTGTGATATGGCCAATGCTAACTGAAATGATTCTTCTTCATCGATTTCAGCTTGAGTTTTACCCTAAATAGAAAAAACAATTTAATCATAATTTTATTTTCAACTCTAATTTATTTACTTGATTAGCTGCTGGTGCAGCAGTAGTAGTCGATAACATTGGTTTGACCGTTGAAATCGGTTTTGGAATTGGATTTGGATTAACTGGTTGTCTAAATACATGAAAAACATTAAGAAAAACAAAACGTTTTTCTTCTCTGTCTTACCCAGATGTTAATTTTTCATAACATGCATCACAAACACGTACATCACGATCCATACCATATTTTGGAATTGGACATTGTTTAGATGAACCTATAAAAGTATAATTCTAGTAAATATTTAAAATTCTTATTTTAATTACATTTATCGCAAAAGATATCACCACATGCTCGACAATGATGCTAAAATAAAATAATTCATATTGAAAAAAATAAAACATAAAATATTAGCATTTACTTTTCGAATAAAAGTTGAAAATGTTTGTCGACACCGAAAACAATCTTTATCATCTCGCCATTCTGGTGCTATATCACTATTTTCAAACATAGCTTCACTTTCTTTCAATGGTGGAAAACGATAGTTTTCAAGTTTCATTAAATTATATGTGTCAGCAAAGATTTTATGTTGTTGACCTTGAAATACAAATAGGTTTAATAATTCGTAAGAATACAAAAAAAAAAGATTTCTTTTTATATAACATACCAAGACCATAAGACCAACATTGGATTAATTCAAGTACCTTATCACGAATTATATCCGGTCCATTCTTAGAAAAAAGAAATGTTGTTGTTTTTTGAAATATATTATTTTAGTTCTTACTTTTGCCAATTCACGTAAAGCATCGATCATATCTCGTTGGGAAACTTCTTTGTGAATTGTACCTCCACAATTTTTTACTATTGATTCCAAACACTAAATATATGTTGATATATAAAAAATTTAATTATGATAAGAAATCTAACAAATGTATTCTAGATTGTTTATCAACGATTACGACATAGATATTGAAAATGATTGTAACGTTTCATTTATCATTTACTATCATACAATCAATGTAATACGAATTGTTTTTTGTCAACTGAGATATTATAAATTATTGAATTACACATTATACGAAAATAGTTTTTAATAATTAATACTTTGAATTCTATAGGTTAGTCGATAGATAGAATTTCTTTAGAATATGATATTTAATATAAGCAATATTTTGATAATAATCTTTAGAATTATTTCCAGGTTATGCGTGACCTCTCTCAAAATCTACTTCCTCGCTAGACATCCTTTCATATTTATGAGCTATTTAAAAATATATCCTATTGAATACAATGGTTTAAAAACTAAAATTATCTCTACCTATTTATATTTCAATATAATAAAATATTTAGTTTCAAGCGAAAAAGGAATGTCTATTACAGCTATAAATTATTTCAATTGACAGTTCTATTTTAATTCTTAATTAAAATGCTATATATAAAACATACTTGAAGTGAACTAAGAACAACATGAGCATTTTCATGACCAAATTTCTTTTTTATTGATTGGATTGCATATTTTGCTCTAGAATAGAATTAAGATAGATCATATTTTTTTAGTTGTATAAATCTTACGGAACGTCTTGTGATTTAACAATATCACAAAGTTGAAGAACTGATTCCCAATCAGGTTCAAGTAACAATGGACTTGTTGCTTTTTCTAATAAAATATATAATAACAAAAAAATGAATGAAATAGTTTTGATTTTTTTTACCTAATAATTTATCAAAAATTTTTGTATTTGATAAACTAAATAAACTCATAATATTAATCTAAAAAAGAAAAAAAAAGTAAAAAGATAACTATATAAATTTTATTTAAAAGTTATCGTATTTAAACCAATATTATTTTCATCTCTATAAGCCCAAGAAAAACAATAATGTTCAAATAATTGTTCTAATAATTCTTTTTCATCTAGACCACCATCTATTTTTTCAATTCGTGTTTTTTCATCAATATTTAAATATTTTTTGTAATACTCATTTAATGTTAAACAAGATGATGAAGTAAAATTTGCATTTAAATATCTTTGACATTGACTTTCTTTTGATTGACATGATTCCATACCAATTAAATGACATGAACGATGTTTTAAATTTTCAAACATAATTTCTCCAAAACGATCATTCATATTAATTTGTTCAAAATTTAAAAATAAACAACATGAAGAAAATGTTTTCGTTAAATATTTTAATAAATTTAATGAATGTTCATTTGACATATAAATTAATACACATTCACATAAAAATAATGTTGGTTTAGTTGCATCAAGTATTTGATTATCAAAAAGAAATTTAAATTGATTATCTAATTGTGATAAATCACGAAGATCAACTGGTAAAATTGTATATTGAGATGAATGAAAACCACATGGAATTTTCAACGAATGATTTTCTGTTGGTAATTTACTATGAAGAGTAGATAAACGACGAATTTTATTTGATTTTAATTCTGTTATTTCATCAAAATCCATATCAATAAAATGTTTAAATTGAAGATTATCATTATCTAATAAATAAAATATTGTTGTATCAAAACCACAACCTAAATTTATTATTTGACATTGATTATTTGTTAATTTTATAAATTTTTCAATGAGATAACGAAGTCCATGTACACGTACATAATAACCAAGGCTTATTTCAGGTGTACGACGTTCATGATGAGATGAACCAGCAAGAATTTTTAAATATGGATCTTTCCAATAACCACGTTCTATGGCATAGAGTTTACATTGACATGCATCATTATTTGTTTCAATTATGTTACTATTATCAACTGCTGTTTTATCCATATAATCAAACAACTAGAATCTTTAGATAAGAACAAAAAGAAAAACGTTAATGACGTGAGATTTAATATTACTCACATTGATTAGATAATGATGACTAATGTTGTTTTTTTGTTGAAGTTTAGTATGTGTCAGAAAAAGAATATTTTTTCTAACACGGGAGATTTATATTTTGTTACATAGAAGCTATAGAATCATCTTATAGTTAAACATAGTTAGTGACATCTGTAGATTTGTATAATGAAGACTTATTTTTGTTGAAAATAATATAAATAATTTTTATTTTGAAAAAAAAGAAAGATTTGATAAAAAGAATGAAGAAATATTTTTTAATTTGCCTATTGTGTATTATTTTCAGATGGCGTTGTTCTACAATGATATATTTCATAATTATGAACAACTAATAATCTATTAACAGACTTAAAGATGAATTAAAATACAACATCATAAGAAGACAAATCAATTATTCTTCATTCTCATTTTCATGTTCACTATGCATATCTGCATGATTACTGCAGAACCGAAATTCATCAGTTAATATATCAAGCTTAACACGACAATCATTACATAACCACCATCGACGACGACTTTTTGCTTTATCCACCTAATCAAATCCATCGTTTTGATGACAACATCGAATGGCTTCATGTTGAGGGTGTGGATGTGGCTAGGGTGGGTGGGTGAGAAAGAGACTCGCCCACACTCACACCCTAATAAGTACATACTCTTTTCATATAAATTTCAATTATTCAGCTAATCTACACCCTTATAATACACTTTAAAATAAGATATAAGAACGTCTCAATGATAGAGACATGTTCAAGATTTATATGCACGAAGACATGGAGAGATCCTTTATTAAATATATTGTTTTTTTCTTATATGTAAAAAAGTAAAATTGTTTTTGTCAATGTTAATAGTGATACTTAGCATAGTCTCTCTAAGCACATCTTTATAGATATAAATCTTGAGTATATATCTATCATCGAGAAAAAAATTAGTTAATTTGCTTAAGATGTAATGGAGATATGCAATTTGTTTATCGTAAAGATATCTATAACACACATGTTACTATATTTTTTATATGCAATCAATAAAAACAAATGCATAAAATGTGCATTGTCAAGCGAAAATGAGTTTAAGGACCACAACATCTGCAAACGTTTTTTTCTTTATATTGAATATTTCGTATTATCAAAGTAAACCTAATAAAGTAAAATATCTGTTGATTTTTATCTATCAATTTTTCACAATATTAAACACATTTATCATCCATATACATCACGAAAGGATGCGAACCATCTTAAGGGTGGATGTGAGTATGGGTTGAATACAATACACACACCCACACCCATTCTTCTTAATCATACAGATGTCCATTTTAATAAATGCAATGAAATAATATATTCAATAAAAAAATCAATTAGAAAAGTATTTCTATATTAGAACTTTTTATTAGTTATTGAACAATCACACAAAAAAAACTAATAAAGTCATTAAGATATATAATGAATACCTATGAAATATTGTGTTGGGTGATAAAATCAAAGCCAAAATCGAAATCTTGATATATGAATAAAAACTCGACTATTAGGAAAACGCGTTTGAACCATCAGACGGTAAGGTTCAATTTTTTCCCGATCAGTCTGTCCATAAATATCAAGATAAACAAAATGTTTTAATTGTTGAACCAATTCAGAAATGTTTTGTTCAAAGACAATAACATGTTGCTCTAAATAAAAAGACTTTTGTTAATTATTTATTTCTCAATCTGTTTCATATACATACGAATCACTTCTGGTATTAGTAAAGCTAGTTTTCTTCGTCGATTCGAACCATTAAGATATCTCGACCAACACGAGGGTGGAACTAACAAAAAAGAAAAAATGATTAAATATTAATTTCTACTATGGGGCAGTTTTTGAATTCAGAAAAATTCTTATATTACCCTCAAGAATTAAATCAGTCGAAAATAATTTAGATAAATTTGTATCAATTCAGATTTTTTAAGAACCAACGCAACGCGGGTGATTTCTCAAAGTACTTTGGTAGTAGCTGCGAGACGGCGGCAGATTTTCTTTTGGAGAAATTACAAATTCGTATGAACTTATTTATAATTTGGGTGTTCACAGATATCAGACACAGGAACTAAATAAATCTCATGAATTAAATGGCCAATGGTAGGCATGAAATAGTAATGCAGAGATGTTCGTAAGATTTTTTACAAACCATCGAAACAGCAACTACTTTTTCTATAGTTTGCCTTGACAGAGTTAGTTTTTGATGGCGGCGTGATAGCGTCACGGCAACGACAGCTTTTCAGACGCGATGGACATCTTTGTACTCAAACAAAACATTTACATTATCAAAAATTGGCTATTGTTCCACAAAACGACCTTATATGATGTGTTTAAGCGAAAGACACCGATGATTAGAAAATAACAACATTGTTCAAGCTTAACAATTCTGAGGCAAGTCTGCAGTTACCAGTTATTGCCTTAAAATTGTCATTTTTATTTTTTGATAACTGACATTGAATAAGATCGAATATGTTTAATTCAAAGTTGCCCTGCTAATTACTAATGAGTTCAAATGAATAATGGATCTGTTCCATATAAGTTTAGAGATAATATATATTTCGAAAACAGCCGAAGATAGAAATATTGCTCAACGATTTCTTCTAAAAAGGTTTATTTTAATTAAAAATACTTTCTTACTTGGTGTCCAAGCAAAATCATCGTCTCGCCAAAGTCTCAATATTTGTAAATATGGCATGTATCTGCTAAGAAAAGGTATTAAATTTTTACCCATTTGAATTGACTCATTTGAACCATAATAACAGCTCGTAAGACAAAATTCCACGTGTCGGACGGTACTTAATGCATTTCTTCTTAGTTTATCAGATGCCTAAAAATAGGAGAAATCAATTTATCAGAGTTTAATAATTAAAAATGATACTTAGAACACGAGAAAAAGATTACTTAAGTAGTAACATATAAGCAGAGTTTGATCTGTTTGTCTCTTACAAAATACTTCATAATGGTAGACTAAAAAGTTGAAATGTTTGTATTTCTAATTTCTCAGATTCATCAAGATAATTTTTTTTTGCTAAAATATTCATTAACAGATTCTTATACGATTTCATTCAGATTACAAGATCTTATAAGATTCTTGTGCTGTAGGACGTCAGATTTTTCGACCTGGGTTAACATAAAAATAAATATAATGAAATTTTGTTTGTTATCTAAATGATTGACTTTTACACTGTGTAAGTTATATATATATACATTCACAGTAGATGTAGAATATATATTCTAGATAATAAAAAATGTTTGATATAAAAATATTTATAATTATCTGAGATAATATTTAATTGGTAGTATATTCACTTTGCAAATAAAATATTATTTAAAACTAATCCGAATAAAACTTATAATTATATTTAAGAAGTAAAACTTAAAATAAAAATAAATTTAGAAGGTACATACGTATTCAACAAGATGCAAAAGCCATTCATATTGTTCGATTCGAAGATAAACAAGTTGAATTGGCATTGAAATAAGGTATGCAAGTACTTCTGCACGTAACTTGTTTTTATCGATGCATTTATCGTGATGTGCTAAAGATACATAATCATTAGAAATTCTTCAAATGAAAACAATCATATTTAGAATATATTTCATAAAAAATACTAATGATAATTAAATACCAGTGGGATCCCGTGTAAAATGCACACCTACTATTCTCGCTGTACGGATTTAAAACTAATAAATAAATGTGTTCAAATTGAAAAAGAAAACTAAGGCGTACTTTTTAGAAAGTGCTGCAATTTAGTTTTATTTTATGAAAAAAATATCTACGATTTTTTCAAAAGCAATACCAAACCGAGACCCTGATCTATCATGTTTTTCATAATACAGCTCTATCTGGCTCCGTTTAATGTATTTTCCAATGGTTCGACTGTAGAGTAAGTCTATTCTATTAACTTTAAAAGAGTAATATATTCATATACAAATCGACCACATCCATATTAAATATTACTTATAGAATACTGCAAGACTAAACTTTTAGATATCTATAGGAATATATTTTTTTTTGGAATAAGATATAAGATATATGATTTATCTCTAGAAAGTTATAGATCGAGCTTAGAATAATCTGACAAATGTCCGATTAATGATTATCTTTAGGAAATAAAAAAAAGATTTACCGGAATTACGATAAAAACATGATCCAAAATCAAGTCTAGTCACATATTGAAAATGGATATTGATTAATTTGTTTTGTTCTGTATTCAATAATGATTGTAAAAACAATGAAAATTCCAAGTTACTAATAGGTTTATGTCGTCCTACACAAAAAAAAATATTTTTTACAATAATGTTTACAAATGTCTTTAAACAGTTCTGTTTCCCTAACAAATCATCATCATCACAAAATCATTCTGATAATAATTAATTGCTTGAAATTTCCAAACTTTTCTCCATTGATTTATCAATTGTTTCTCAATTTTTATGAGAGGAAAAATATTATACTAGAAGGTCAAAACAATTCTACATATGTCACTACGTAGAGAAAAATATTTCTCAAATAAAAGAATAAAGAACACGTTTCAAAAATAAAATTTACTTCTTTTAAGAAAGAAAAGCGTTTTCAAAATGGAACAGTCAAGAACGCATCTTACTTTTTTAGAACATTTTCTTAGTCATCACCACATAGATATATATTCGTTACGGGGGTTCTCGAAGAAAACTGATTAAAATCAGCACACGACTCGTTGACGGACCTGTTTCAACTCAACTCGAGAAGTTCTGTCCAATGGTGTGCTCTGATTTTCTGTAGCTCAAACTATGATTTAAAATATATTTTCAAAATTAACGTTAAATTCACATGAACACGTTCGGTAATTTAGAGAACGGCACAGTGTATCTTTTTCTTTCTAAGAATGATCTTAAATTGTCTTGAATACCCTCAACAGTTCAAAGAACTCATTCTCAAGTCTTTTTCTAGAGAACTTCAAAAACGCGATCTTATTTTGGTAGAATGCTATTCTGATCGTTTTAACAAAGAACGGACTGAGAACCATTCTACTGATTTATGGAACAGTTCAGAACGCTTTCTACCTAGATGAAGAATAGCTATTAACCGAAGTCTTTTAAGACTTAGGAAAAAAGTCAAGCATGCTATTTATTTTTGCAGACTGCACTTCCAGACTCCCTTGATTGAGAATTTTAAATACGTACTGGTGTAGAAGGATACTTCAAACTAGTACATAAATTCTTTTTTGTGCTTTTTATATCCGTAAAGTTTTCTCTCATGTAACTCAGAAGATGTTTCTTTCGTGACTATGACTCAGGCGGAGTCAAAGTTGAATTTTGAAATGACTTTACCGTTCCCTAGTAACGATGTGGAACGACAAAGAATGTGTTGCTTGAGACGCAGGGCATTTCTTTTCGTTTATGAACGCGTTCCTCAAGTAAGAGACAAGTTTCCCTGTTTTCATTACTGCGTTTTGGTCCGTTTTTTCCATCGATATTTTTCACGAGGTAGCTGCTCTTTATTCTCAGTATATATCTGTTCATAGTATTTCATTCGTTGATTGCCGATAGCATAAATACGTAAAAATCATTTATTCTAAGCACTGTTCTCTTCAGTTTTATTTATTGTATTCTCAAATTTGAGAGAAAAAATTCAATCATTTTTATCTTTTAAATTTCAATGAAATTGGTAATATAATTGAATATTTACCCATGTTAAATTTAATATAGATACGATAAGGAAATATCGTATTGATTTGCTTGAGGAATAAAGAAGTTGATGGACACAAATCTATTTGAATATATTTGGGATGTTCCCAATCGAAAATAGTTGGAAGATCTCTACAAAAAAACAACAAGAAGATTGGTTGTTTATTGTTTAACAAAAATAAATTGCTTACATCATTCCATCAAATCGTTTTGGTTTAATAATTCTAGTTGACGATAAATATTGATATGACATAACTGGATCAAAAAAACATTGAACATTTGTGAAAATATGATTAATAAAAAATCGATCAGTTTTGAATGAATTAATTATTCGGTGAATATCATTTGATAATAATGATTTACATTTTGATGCTATATAGAAGTCAAAATTAACTAAATTTCTTGATATATCAGGTAGAAAATATTCACAAACGATATTCCTATTAACAATAAAATTTTCTTCTACTGATTTTTTTATATCTAAACGAATTTTTAATTTTTCAATATAATTAACATTATTAAGAATCCATTTTAGATAATTTAATTGTGAATCATTGATAATCACACTTTTTATAATAAAACATTTTAATTTTGGTATCTAAATAAATAAAATTATGTGTTTTACTTTGAACAATCAAATATTACTTTCATTTTTTTATGTTATTCTTTTCATAAGATCTAGCTAATAACAAAAATTTACAGAATTCTTTGTAGACCTTCAAGCAAATGTATTTTCCTTTCATTCAAATCAATTTTCTTTCGTAGTTTGAATGTATCTATAGAATAGTTTTCGAATGTAATATTGATCTCAATTGTCAAATAAAACTGGGCAAATCTCAATGTCAAACTCAAATAGGACTTAATAGTTTATTAGACTCTTGAAAAAGGTGAACATTAGTCATATCCAACGGTCATTGATTAAATATTTTTATCAATAGAAAATTTTTCACACGCTCAAATCAAAATATCGAATATTAGAGTTATGTTCAAATTCAACAAACTTAATAAGATCATGAATTTAGAATAATAATTTGAGCAACATCATTATTTTTAACAATCAACACTGTTTTCAACATAAATCATTACATTTTCTCTAGTTTAGAGACTCATCGTAAGTATCTCTTGATTTTGGTAATCAACATTTTCTTTACTAATTTATTTTTCTTTCATCTAAGTTACATGAAAAAGTTATTAATTAACTAATACTGTCCTTTTCAATATATAAGAATCGTCTAGTTTTAATGATAGATATTTTTTGTTTTCAATTAACGGCTTTTTTTAATAGTTCTTATCTGAAAAGCATTATTATCGTATAAAAGAACTGTCTTTGTTTATGTAATTAATCTAATTAAATGCACTAATTTTTTGCTTGCGACGGAATATACTCAGGTGATTAAATCCTTTCTGCTCCATCTTTTGAAAATAAATAAGCATCGTTGAAGTATAACTAAAAATGATTCGTGTCCTTGCGTCTTTATTTTCGAGTTATAAGCGTTTTACTGGATTTTTAACCTGCCACGAAATATTTCAAAAAATTTGAATGGAGTATTGTTGATCTGAAACTGTACCCATAGATAGGCTTATCGTCGCTAGAATCTTC